CACACTCTCTCTCTCTCTCACACACACACACACACACACACACTCAGCAGCATCAGGACGGCTGAACGCAGCATGTTTAGGTTGATCTATGGAGGGTTGAGTAGGAGTGTGGGATAGTGACAAAAAATATATCTAAATATTTTCTGGGATTTTGTCAGTAATGATAATTGAATGAGTAGAAACAGCACTCATGTGCTTACGTGATACGGATTAACTATATCCTTTCATATGAATATACAACAAAACGTGTGGGGAAAATTGGCAACGTAGGCCTATATGTTGAATTTTGGGGCAATCTAACAGAATTAAAATAGGCCACATTATGCAGGGAAAACGTGTTTTTTGTTGCGTTTTTGTGAAGAAAGTGACAACTCATCTCGCACATTGTTAAAACAATAAACATCGCACACCCCTTGTGTAATGTGAACGACATCACACACTTGAACAGGAGTGTGTAACCTGTGTGTGTGTTCCAGAGGGAGTCTCTGACGCGAGCACACAGTGAGGAGATGGGCCGAACCGTCCCAGGGCTGCCAGACGGCTGGATGAAGGTAAGAGCAGCAGGTGTTTGTCGTGTCGTGTTGTTGTTCGCTGGCGTTTCTAACCCTGAGCTGCTGGTCTCTGCAGTTTCTGGACACGGTGACAGGCACCTACAGATATTACCACTCTCCCACCAACCGCGTGCTCGGCCGTCTGCAGCTCAGATCCGGAACCTGAACCCGGTGTTTGGAAGTCAGGGGCCGTTGCTAACGGGCCTCCGTAACCTCGGCAACACCTGCTACATGAACTCTATCCTCCAGTGCCTGTGTAACACGGTCGCCATGGCAGACTATTTCAACAGGAACATCTATCAGCACGACATTAACCGGTAATCCATCTTTCAGACGTCACTGATTAAACGATCACATTCAGCGTGAATCAGAGTGACTCTGTGTCTGTGTGTGTGTGTGTGTGTGTGTGTGTGTGTGTGTGAGTTTCTCACATCTTCAGGAACGATACGCCTCGCACCAGAAAGCATGATAAAGACGGGCATTCTCTCGTTCTCTGTCAGGCGGATAAGCGGCGTGGGTATAAGGAGGAGGACATCGATCATCTGGACGACGTGAGCGCAGCAGAGCTGGCCTGGTCCAAACACAGGCTCCTGAACGAGTCCATCATCGTGGCTCTGTTCCAGGGTCAGTTTAAGTCCACGGTCCAGTGCATGAGCTGCCAGCACAAGTCCCGCACCTTCGAGACCTTCATGTACCTGACTCTGGAGATGACGTCCAGCAGCAAGTGCTCGCTACAGGTCACACACACTCACACACAATTGAAAAAATTGAAATTTCCACTTGGTGTGGAGTCACTATTCTCTCAGAGTTAGATCGATTATTAAGACTTTATAGTCATAGTGACTGGCTTTAATCACTGCTGTGTGTTTGTACAGGACTGTCTGAAGCTGTTCTCTAAAGAGGAGCGTCTGACCGACAGCAACCGCTTCTACTGCCGCCACTGTAAGACACACCGAGACGCCATCAAGAAGATGCAGATCTGGAAAGTTCCGCCCATTTTACTCGTACACTTGAAACGGTGAGTCACGTCTTTAGCGCAGGGCTCTGATATCCCATAAAGCAGCGTGTCAAACGTGTTGGTGTGTGTTTGTAAGGTTTAAATACGACGGGCGGTGGCGGGAGAAGCTGCAGACGCTGGTGGATTTCCCGCTGGATAATCTGGACCTGTCACAGTACGTCATCGGACCCAAACCCAACCTGAAGAAGTACAACCTGTACGCTGTGTCTGTGAGTCACTTACTCTCTCTCTCTCTCTCTCTCTCTCTCACACACACACACATGATCTGTGACGTCTCGTCTCTGCAGAATCATTACGGTGGGCTGGACGGCGGTCACTACACTGCTTACTGTAAGAACCCTCTCAAGCAGCGCTGGTTCAAGTTTGACGATCACGAGGTGTCCGACATCTCCGCCTCCTCCGTGCGCTCGGCCGCCGCCTACATCTTCTTCTACTCCTCTCTATGAGGGTCAGCGACAGGTTGTCACCATGGTGACCGGGTGATTGACGCATGTGTGACATGCAGCTGTGGGCGGGCTATAGCCCTTTGCATGAGGACTGATGGACACTTCTGCTGAGGGAACGCCCCTCCCTCTCTCTCAGTGTCTATCTCTCGCTCTCTATCTCTCAGTGTCTCTCTATCGCTCTCTCTCTCTCTATCTCTCGCTCTCTCAGTGTCTCTCTCTCTCTCAGTATCTCTCTCTCTCTCTCTCTCTCTCTCTCTCCCTCTCCCTCTCTCGCTCTCTGTGTCTCTCTCTCTCTCAGTATCTCTCTCTCTCTCAGTATCTCTCTATCTCTCTCTCTATCTTTCGCTCTCTCAGTGTCTCTCTCTCTCTCAGTATCTCTCTATCTCTCTCTCTCTCAGTATCTCTCTATCTCTCTCGCTCTCTCAGTGTCTCTTTATCTCTCTCTCTCTCTATCTCTCGCTCTCTCAGTGTCTCCCTCTCTCTCAGTATCTCTCTCTCTCTCTCTCTCTATCTCTCGCTCTCAGTGTCTCTCTCTCTCTCTCAGTATCTCTCTCTCTCTCGCTCTCAGTGTCTCTTTATCTCTCTCTCTATCTCTCGCTCTCTCTCTCTCAGTATCTCTCTATCTCTCTCTCTCTCTCTATCTCTCGCTCTCTCAGTGTCTCCCTCTCTCTCTCTCTCAGTGAGCGG